CCGACTGTCCGGGGTACAGTGCACCGGCAGCACGGTCGTGCCCGCACTCGTGAGCTGGGTGCTGTGCCCAGCACTCAGGAACACAATACTCTTACTCAACCCACAGCAGATAGTGTGTATCAGCATACCACATGAGTCATGTCATTCATCCAGACTTTACAAAAAAATACTACAAGTCCACACCTCCTGAAAGAAGAGGATGTAACCTCAAGATCACCATAACAAGCTGAGGAGCTCCTGTACAGTCAGCCCAGAGCCACGAATCACTTCTGCGGCCATCCTTGCTGTCTTACACAAGTGCCTCAGTTATGTTACAATGTGTATCTGCCCAGCATACCAGAGATGTAACTATTCTTCTTGTCAGTTTATAATTGTAGACCTGAAATGTAGAGGAGACTCGAGAGTCCTTGAAAAGTATAAACTGAACCTTAGCTTTTGTGCTTTTACTCTGCGGAACTTTTAACAATCCTACGTACTAGAGATATTTTGAGTGTAGAGTATCACATGTGCCTTCTGTTCTGCACCTCAGAAGATACTCAAACTATCCAAATCCACACACAGTCAGATATGTACATTCCCCATATAAATCAGCACAGAAAGGAGGGATCCTAACTTAGATTCTCCCAGTTTTCTCTCTGGAAAATCCTACCATATGTGTTGTGGTTGGGTAGCTAAAATGTTGGGCAACCTGATCCTGAATTTTGGGTGGTTAGACTTCTCATGTTGCAGTTAAATACTAAGGCACTGCAGTCTGGAAACTTGAATTTTAATACTTCATGGGTTGGACATATAATGCTCAATTCTTGTGAAACAGACAAAGATTAAGAACTTAATTATTTTAAAAGATAAAATATTTTAGAGTAACTATTTTTCTGCATCTGTTACTTGAGATGTTCATGTAAAATTCCCAAATCATTGTTCACTATGGAAAGAAACTCTATTACCACACCATGAAAATACTCATTTTTAGGTTCAACTCTACTTTTGATGACCAGAGTTTTTAGGAAACATTTAAATGAACAAGGAATGCTCCTTTGGCAAGCTCAGATCCTGCTTGGTGGAGATAAAGATGAGACCCCTTCACTTGTCTTCATAATGTTCCAATGATGGGCCAAAATTGTGGAACAATGTTTTACTAAACTGTGCCACCACACCAGCCACTTCAACACCCTTCATGTGTGTGCTCTACATTATAGGTAATGAATGTAATATTTTCTGCCTTCCCCAGAATTCATTGGAACATAATTCTTCATAAATTCGTGAGGAAAAGAAAGTGACCTTACAAAAGAACAGAGAAGCCTCTCAATACATTTCTGTACAATAAAATTCAAGTAGCAAGGGTGCACTTATCAGGAAGTCTCTGAAATAAAAGGGGTAACAGGCTGTAAGTATATTATGCCCCCAGAGAGTTCTGCCAAATCATAAAACATGGTTAACTGCTGCTAGAAGGAGTGCTGGGATGTGGTAACATAAGAAGTTCTCTTATAGGTTGGGAACCCAACTATTATGAGTTGGGTTCTGTGTTGTTCAGTATCTTCTTAAATAAAAATCTCTTCATTTGCTTGTAGTTAAAACTAGAATCAAATGTGAAAAAATAGCAGAAGGATATCACAGTAGTAACTAAATCACTGATAAAATGGCACCTGAAATTTAATCTTGGCAAAAACCAAAGTAAAGCACATGGTGAGAAAATAACTTTTACTATGCAGGCATGATGATCTATAAATTAGCTATAGCCTCTCAAGCAAGAGATCTTGGAGACATTTTAAATAGTCCTCTGAAAATTCCATCTCAGTCAGTGTTCAAGGGTAATCAAACAAACAGCTGTGATAAGCTCATTAGGAAAAACAGAAATAACAGCTTGCTGCTATATAAATCCACAGTACAGCCAGTATCTATACAACCCTGCATTTATAATATTCTTTCAAAAAGGACAGAGTAGAAAGAGAAAAGTGTAAATCCCAGCTTTTATATGAAGAGAGCTCACTGAGGAGGGTTTTCAGTTGAAAAATAAACAACCAATGTATAAAATAATATTCAGGTTAATAGAAGTTATTCTTCACCGTTTCTCATGAAACAAAAACTGTGGGGGCAACTGGTTTAAAACAAGCACAAGAAACTACTTTCTCACATTATTTACACTCATAAAACTCATTCTTATGGAGATGGGTTTGGATGCTAAATATTTAGAAAGATTAAAACAGCAATTGTTCTTGAAGAACCTTTTAACAAGGTTGAGCAAAGTATTTTGGGTGTATTTGAAGTTCAGAAAGGCTCTAAACTTCTGACTCTTCAAAGACTGCTTTTACATTATTGATTAATTAATCCCTCCCTTGTTCTTAGTCTTTCCCTAAACACCTACTTGTGGAAGGAACTAAGTGCTGGACTAGAAAGACCTTTGGCTTAACCTATTGTATAGCTTTTTATGTACTAAGGATTCCTCCTTCTTGGTCAACCAAGAAGTTGGTTGTCAACCAAGTATGGTTGAGTCAAACATTGACATAGTTTGCAACTTTTATATGGTATTGAAGCAAAAGAATGTGTCATTCTTCTTATCCCCTTTCCTTTCCTAATTTGTACATACTGCAGCCTAGCAGAGCTGGACAACCTTTTATAGCAATCTTGATATGAGTGAGCTCCTAACCTCATTTGCTTTAAGTTATTAATGGTCTTTAAAATGACTGAACCTGTATTTATTTTACTAGCTAATGGTTTGTCCCAGTAGAGCTAGAGTTCAGAGTAATACACACTGACTTATTGTGATGCAATACCACATGATGTATGCCTTGTTACAAGTATTCTTAATTACCTATTTATTAATGCAACCTGCATGATGAAGGTTCACACTGTTTCCAAGGTAACACAGCTGCTATGTTACAGTCCTCCTTTAAAACGTTACTTTCATTCTCTGACCAAACCAAAATTTTGCTGCTTTTATAAAGAATCAAAAAGAATCAAAATAACTTATTATTTATCCCACCTTTTAGAAGGCAAAACATCCATTAAGACAACAAAATCAGTGCTTTTCGCTCTTATCAGGAAACAGAGACCTTTCTCTGTCCTTTGCTAAACTACAGTTTTAGCTTCTAGAATGAGGTCAGCTCATAATCCATTTGCTAACTTATGTTTCCTGGACACGTTGGCTTGGGTTTCTCTATCATTTTAACACTCTCCTAGTAAACAGTTTTCTCAAATTACTTTCCAGTTTATTTTTATCTCCTTCCACCACCAAATTTCCACACAACTTCCCACCATCCCAATTGTATGGAGGAATTTAGCTGTATGGTCTGCAGAAACAATTTCTGCCCAGCCTACATTCAAGTATTTAATATATTCCATGGAAATGCTCCAAGGCTTGCTCAGCTGTACTATCTCTTCTTTCTTGCTCTACAAAGTCCTTCTGAGACACTGCTTCATTTCACATGAGCTTTGGAGATAAGTCCATCTGTCACTAAACTGTAGGCAATATTTATGGTAAAAGCATATCAATGTGCACTTCTTTCCCTGCTGTCTATAGGTGTCAGCACCACAATGACTGGGACATTATCCCTGAAGTTCCTCTCATGCCATGGTAACACCTGCACCAAGCTACTGTTACTAAGGCTTCCCAATTGTCCACAGCAAGTGGAAGGAAGTGAATGTCACAGGTGGAACAGTGTGCACCAGCACGTCCTTCAGTCCTTAGATTCAGTGTCATAGGTTCCTGGGTTCAAAGGTTTAAAAGAAGCAGTGACTCTCTAATCAGACCTTTTAAATAACACAGTACAACAATTGTAATATTCTCATTTATATAATTGCTTTGCTTAGAATTAACCACCACATCATCCAAGAGTAGCTTGGATGGTCAGGCTTCTCACCTGACAATTTTGAGAACAGAGAAACAGCCACTAACTCTGCAGTCTGCCAACTTTAGCTTTAGCTTTGCTAAGCCAGTATCCATCTTATCCTGCCTCCATGGTGCATGTAAGCCTGCAATGTATGCCAAACATGCTGCTTTGCCACACTTCATCCTGTTGTCAGCAGCTTCTCATCCACCAGCATCTAAACCTCACTCAGCTCAAAGCTGGTGAAGAGGGAAACAGCCAAGAGAGACACAGCATATGGCAAAGAGCACCCAAACCACCTTTACTGCCAGGGACATTGAGCCTGGGAGACAGGCTTGCCTGCAGGTTAATATCTCAACCACAAGGCATTGCATGTGGGCTGAGGCTTCTGCTGTCACAGCTGGACTCTCACAGCCTGTTTACTGAGCTACAGTGCACTGCTCTGTAATTTGCTGGTTCGACCAGCTGAAACAAAACCTGATCAAAATGGCTGATCCTCTGGAATACAAACTTTGGGATGGTTAGCTGGAGAAAATGCTAGTTTATATTAGGCATGTTATGTATATATTTGCATTGGATGTCATTAAATGTGCATGAGGAAGTGATGTGCATGACAACCATGACGAAAGGCATTTTCTGCATGGTTAGAATCAACCCTTTGAACTGCAACGGGAAACAAATAGGAAGCCAGTACATAAAGATACTAAGTGAGCATAAAAAACTAAGTGAGCACAAATATCACTTACACTATATATTGTGTATTTTAGCTAGTGAGAACAGCTTTATTCTGTGCCAGCTCATCTTTGAACAGTTTTTATAGGCAGTCACAAATACAGTTCTTCAACATAAATTCATTCATAGACTGAGGCCAGAAGAGAACACTGCAATTATCCAGCATAACCAGCTGGATAACAGAAACCCTTTTTGGTTTGATGTTGGATTACAGATAAATGTCGATATACCAAATCTTAACAGTCTGCAGCATTTTTACTGCCCGTTTTTCTAGCTCTGTGATAAAACATTTAGGGATTTGAAAAGTATACTAGCCCAGTAAAGGTCAAATTCAGATCCAAGACCAAACTGAGGGTACTCAGTGTTGCTCTCATATCTCAAACCAGTGCTGAAGCTCTCTTTTATCCCATTTTTTTTGAGAGCTGAGTGGTTCCAATGGGATCTGCCATATTTCAGTTTTATTATTCGTAAGGCATGAGGCCGTATATCAGTGTAATAACACCCAGCTTTCTAAATGAGATATCTATGCACCTGTAATCTTATGCCCAAGCTGCAAAACCATTTGCACATCCAAAGAGTATTGCTATAGAGCATTTATGCTGCAGAGTGTGTATTTATTGATAAAATAATGCTAGTTTATGACATCTGGGTTCTGGTTCTCACACTCCACCAACAGCAATTTTTGTAGTTGTTTGATATCAGCAAGCAGTATCTTACAGATTAACAACAAGTCTCATTCAAATCAACCTGGTCTCTAAGCCTGTTACCTATAGCAGAGCTCTGTTTCACTCACATCATCTTTCAAACTACTCTTTAGATAATGTAAGAATCCAGCACACAATAGGATGACAGTTAAAAAAATAAAAGGAAAGAACTATGCACTAGAAATCAAAAGCAAAACACAAACATTTAAGATTTTTTTGGCACTGAGAAAAGGAGGAAAAGTTCAGTCAATAAAATTTTCCGACAACTATTTAAGCAGAAACTACTTTTGATAATTTCAGTTGCCATTCTGCAAGCAGATTTATCTACAGAACCTAATTAAAATAAATACAAGTTTCTAATGCAACATATCTGCCTCCTTTTTTACTCACAAATCTGCATTAAGAACACTCATTTATCAATATGTGGGATTAAAATATATAGACATGACAAATGACAGAGTCTGTTTGAAACACCTCCTGAAGCTGCAGAACCTCATATTAAACCATGCATAATGTTCACTCCATTTTTCAGGCAATATTTTGAAAGCTATGCAGACTTATATAGATTTCCTAGTTCTTTATGAATACTGTAAATACACAAAAAAGTAAGACCTTTAGAGCAAGTCATGACACCTATATTTTATTAACTGCTTTTTACTATCAAAATAAATCTCATGCAAATTCAATAAACTACTGAAATGTATTTTACCACTCAGTTCTAAATTTTAGCTCCTACCAATAAAAACCCGTCAATAAGCAGGTAAAAGGGAGTAAAAGGCATAAAACTTGAGGGTTTGTTACAGTTTGGGGGTTTATAATTTTGGGGGTCATACTTTAATTAACTGTAGAATATGTGAGGTGTGTAATTATCCCAAGCTGTGGATAACATCTTTTTTTACCAAGGTTCACCACAAAGTGATTTTAAGTTTGGCTGATAACAGACAAATAATAACAGTTTGTGAAAAACACATGAACCAAAATTTTCTTACATATTACAATAACTAAGATTAGCTTTAAAAAACCCAGACAAAACAAAACAAAAAAGGGATGTGCTGCATATTGCCCACCTCATGCAAATGTGGTCCGCAGGTTTAAAGCTAATATAACAGCTAGGCAACATTATGTTCAACAGGATCCCACAGCACACACTGTTATCTTCCCTGATTCTGAAGAACAGTATAAACTGAGGTTTATAAAAGCCTGACAAGATCATTTATCCAATCATCTTCTGGTTGCTGGACAGAAAAAGACAGGAGTATTTTTCTCTCTCTCTTCTCTGGTGAATTTGTTTGTAATGCTTACTCTCTCATATCATACTCAGCCTTGACAGAAGTATCCAGTGGAGATAACCTCAAATATGCAAAGAGCTGAATTATGATTCTGTCCCTCTGGTTTCTAAAACTCAGCTATCAGCTTTGATCTTTGACTTTTGAGAGCCTGTTCTGAAAAATAGAATGCGCATTCATACATGGCTTGATATGAGTATTTGCCATTATTTCAAAGGTAGAAACAAATTTTTAGAATAAGCACAGTAAAAGTTCAGGAAGCAGCCATTTTTCAGTTTAACTTTTCCTGACCTTGGCCTTTTCCATAGAACATGCCTGGAACAGGCACTCCTTAGCTGCAGTTCCACTAATCCAGACACTCTAAACTCTGAGCTCTGCCAGCTTCAATCAATCATAATTCTCCCTACAAGACTGTGTTACAGCCAAAATATAGGGCTATACTTTCAGAAAATGAGGTAGCATTAACGCTATGAAAGTTGATAAAACAGATTCCAGATGCCAGTAACATGAAACAACAATGAGAAGAAGAATCTAAGAGTTTGCATATGCAGACAATTTTCTTCCTACTTTATAAGCTACACAGGAGGCTGGAGAAATTAGTTTTATTTTTCTGACATCCTATTTCTATGAAATGAAGGACAAATATTTAATCTTACTGTGGTATTGGGGAAAAATGGGAAACAATTCTGGAGGATCTTGAAATCCTGATCAAGAGAGGTCAATCCCTGACTGTGAAGACAGGCATTGGATCTCTAAGATATCTCACAAATATTTTAACTGTCATCAGAAATGAAAATTTAAACAAACAATATAACAAAGCTTTGAATGGTCTCAATAAAAACTTTCCCTTTCCAAATATGTTCTTCACAGACTTTTCAATTCAAAGTGCTTAATGAAAAACAAGTAGAAAGGATCTGAGGTTTTAGTATAAATATCAAATGGAAGAGGAAAGGTCTTCAAAAGATCATGCACTGCTGTTGTTTTTTTTTTTTTTTTTTAGAAAACTCCTTGAACAAAATCATCATCTGAAAGCTATAAATAAGCTCATACTCAGCATGTGCTTCATAAACTAGAATAGGATCTTATTATGGGAAAACACAGCTCATACGAATTTAATCTGTTCCCAGATTCCTGCATGTCAAAAATAAAATTCTCACTGCTTTTTGTAGAGAAGGGCTTAGAATTGTATTTCTGACTGGGAAAAATGGGGTTTATGGACCCAAACAAAGACAAGAATCAGTCAGTTGGAAAGAGGTTTAGATATTCATGTATTTTTGCAAACAACACTGAGGCCTGCCACACCACATCCAGAGCACCAGCAATGTCTTTGGCAGTTGCTATGGCCTTATTTTTGCCAGCAAGTTCTGTCCTAACCAAGTTTGGACAACACTTGTGATAGCAACAAAAGCGGCTGGTCGGCTTTAGAAATCCCAGCAGAGATGGAGCTGCTCCAGTGTCAGCCTGAGAGTGTCATGGGGAGTTTGCCAAAAAAGGCTCGGTTAGATGAAGTCCTCAGAGGCTCCACACAAACCGGACGTGTCAAAGTCCTGGCACTGAACTGCCAGGAAGGTTAGAACCCAGGGAGAAAGAGAAGACAAGTCTCCTGACATAACCACAGTATTTTCTCACTTTCATAGAGTTTCAGAAGGAAAACTGATGTTGTGTGATGATGCAGTGGATCAGAAATAAGTCAGAGGCCATCACCCAAAGGCAAGTGTTCCAGAGTAATTTGAATCTTAGGAAAATATTACAATGGGAAACATACGTAAGCAAGCCAACCCAAGACAACACGCAAGAAAGAGAAGGTTTTAAGGGAAAAAAAGGAGTATTCTCTGCATGAAAGTAAACTGATGAGCTCATGGCACAGGTTTTAAGATTATTTTTCTTTAGTTTAGTAGTTTTGAAGAAAAATATCATTCCTATTTTTTTTTGCACAAACACACATTTAATGCATAACAATTCTGACACATTCCTTGTACTCAAGTAAATTTTCTTCACAGAGGATAGGAAGAATGTGCATTCAGCAATACTATGGCTTTATTAATTAATACATAAAGGAAAAAAATCTATGAAATAATTTCTTTTCACTTTGTTTTTTTCCTAACATGTCCCTAACATAAAACAAGCATAACTCCATGAAGTTGATTTAATGCAGTATGTGTCCTTCAGGCTTGAGTCTTGATATCAAAGAAAAAAAAAAATGAAGGAAAGGTAGGAAAATACTCTTGTATCAGCCTCTTTCTCAGGAAGATTCTCCAATTTAGTTCAAGTCAAAGGTTACCAGCTTCCTATTTGGTCAAGAGCAGTTTGCTTCAACCAAGACTGGGGTGATAGAAATAAACAGTGTAAATTCACAGAAAAGGGTGAATCTCCATTTGTAACATAGAACCAAGGGAGTACATTTTTCATTTACAATCTGTAACAAAATACAATTAATGTTTCTCCCTATAAATAAATAGAATAAAGTTCTATTTTTCTCTGCCCTTAGCTATCCAGGAATACACTCCTGGAAGGACTGACCAGGAAGCACACAGCTTCCTGATTCTCTGGTTACTGAACTTCCTGTGCATTAACTTTAATGTTAGTGGCACCCTTTGGGAAGAGCTGGGCCTCTGAAAATTTTGTGCTACATAATGTAGAAGATAAAGAAATTCAAACCCAACTAGAATCAAAGTACTTAATGTAGTTGATCTCTGCTATGCATCCTGTTTGCCAGAGTCTACCTAATGTCACATAGCGTCAGAAATAAAATTAAAATACATATTTTAAAGGTTTAATCACAGCTCTCACTCTTCAGAAATCCAGCAGACAATGGCAGGAAGTTCAAACACTGTTATACAGTTTACACAAAAGCAATAGGTATTGTTGAAAGTAAAAATGACATTGAGAAGGTCACCTTTTTACAGTGGCTGGTGTTGATATACAAGGTACACTTAGGCACCTCTTGTTAATACAGATCAAAGGAGGCAGGGAAACTGCAGCACAGAAATGTAAGAAGTAAAATTGTGGTTTTATCTGTGGTACAAGGTACATTAGATTATCTATGGCTGAATGAAAATGGGAGAATCAAATTTGTTTTCTCGTGAAGGAAAAGAATATTGAAATGCAGGGCACAACTGAAAAGCTTCAGAAAGGTCTTAAAAGACTGGCAGGTTTAGAATTAAATCTGGGCACATTATTTAGACTTAGCTTAAGATCTACTCAGCCCAGAGGAAGGCTTCTAGCAGATGGATGGCAATCTAACTCAGCAGACATGACTGAAAATTCAAAATGTCAGTAAAAAGGATGGCTCGGGTATGAAGCTCAATTCCGCAGGGCACTAAGGAATATGCTTACAAAGCTCAAAATCAAAGTCAAGCAAACACCACATGAAGCCTTGCATTCTGTGACAGTCAGCACAATCTAGGAAAACATGTCATACAATGCATGGAGAAAAAGAAAAACATCTAATACATTTTGTCATTTTGCAAGGGTGTACCAGCAGAGTGCACAACACCAAAAAGGAGACAATGAGGGCCTCATTAAACCTAATTAATTTCTCACAGGAGTTCTACCAGGAGATGAATGGACTGCCAGCTAGAAAGCAAATGGGAAATGTATTGCTTTGTGCACCAGGGTCCAGCTTCAAACCAATGTATTGCCAGAACTGCAGAGATTCTAATAAAAAGCCACTAATCATAGAAGTGAAGCAATAGGACCTAGACTTCACAGTGGTTAGCTCTCCCCACAGACATAATACATTAATTAGGTTATATTTCTATAAATTATAGCAGTGCTGAAGGAAAGAAAAGTCCCAACCAAAATGCCCCTTTTGGATTTAAAGTAACTTATATCCTTGGTCTTACTAAGGAGGTCACGCTCAGATGCAAAAGGGAAAGCAAAATAATTCAGATTATTATGAAGACATCTTCCTGGGTAAATATAAAAATCTTCACAGAGTATTAAAAAGAGCTGGAAAAGTTCAAGAACTTCAGATTTCAGACCTCCAGAAAAGTTCCCCTTGACCTACCACAGAATGAGAAGAGAACCCAAATGTATTATTTTGGGAGCCACAGAGCAATCAGAAGAACCAAAAAAGCAAAAACATTTCAGCATCATTGAAAAAAAAATTCCACTTAGGCATGGATTCCAAAGAATTCAGTAAATATTTAAAAGAGAAACATGTTCCATTTCCTCAAAAGGGAAGAACACTCAGGGAATGTGGCTGATGCCAAGGATTTTTCTTCACTGAATTCATTCTCAAAATTGCCTGTACACATCTGCAATAGCCCATCATACAAAGCTTATATATTTCGCTCTTCCCTGTGATTAAAGGCTAAATAATATTTTTCTTTAATCCAATATTCTAATTAAATTTCCAAGGTTTAAAGGTGCAAGAAACTGCCCAGTTAATGTGGTAATTAATGACTAGAAAGCCAACTTTCCATTACATTATTATTTGGACAGCTCACACACTTGAGAAGACTTCTAATTGTGTTACTGATGATAAATGTTGAATGGTCAAAGCTTGTGTGTGCTGTGCACATTTTACTGCCCTGAAGGCCAACACACTAAACAGTTTAAAACATTCAAATACTCTTGCAAACTTGAAAGTTAAGCCATAAACTACTACATACACTGTTATTACAGCAGATTAATTAGTCATGCCATGGACTTTTATGGGTGCACAGACAAAAAACTGACAATGCATCATCTCTACTAGCAGCAAATATGAGGATCTGAATGTCCAAGAAAACTGATAACATTTCTTCTGAAAGATGCAGCAAGTTATATAGCAGTTAAGAAAATAAATACAAATAACAAGAGGTTTCATTATCTCCTGAGTTAATCTATTTTTCAATACAAATGTTTTCTACACCATTTTGTTATCCATTCTTATGTATTAGGTATAAACTAGAATATCAAAGCAGAGGAGACAAGTTTGCAGAGATGAGGATAACTATAGAGAGGATAATCACTTTGTGCTAATAATTGAAAAGAATTTTTTTTTAAACTAATGGATACAAATTAGGCTATTAAACAGTGAGAAAGCCTGTCCTCTACATAAAATCATAACTATATTCTTTTGAGACATTACTTCGTGGCATGCTATTGATTCACAAAGTGGATTTATGTAAATTAAAGTGGATTTATCCCTTATCTTCTACTGAAGATAT